AAACCAAGATATAAAATTTTAAATGACTTGATGGGTAAGTATAAAACATCAACAAAATATATTTATCAGATTTGGAGAGGGGAAGAAGCTAATAGAGTTCTCTGGGATCAACCTATACCCCATGATGATGATGATGATGACTTTAATCAAAATTTAAATATTTTGCATAATGCACAAAGTGTACAAGTACAGTCTAATATATTCAGCCATAATGTGTCTACCTCTAACAATAATTCATCTAATACAAATGATATAATTTACTCTAAAGTTTTACTAGATAAATCAGCAGAGATAACACAACCAAAGACGAGTCAAAGACTCAAAGCTCAGCTTTCTCAAAATTCTAATTCCTCACGTACAGTAAAAAAAAGTATCTCTTCTGATAGGAACAAAGTCCCATGTCTCAAAGAGACGCTTTCTACAGGCCTGCAAAGCAATAATATATTTAGAAGAAAAATGATCTTGAAAAATTAATGAAAGACACTGAAAGATTAGCTCTTATGCTTCCATCTTTGTCTCAGTAAGCTGAGAACATCTTTCTGCAAGAGCTTTACCTACTTTTAAAGCTATATCAAGCCACTCTTTAGTCTTTATGAGTCACTTTTCAAGTTTATTTTAAGTCTTCCTTATTAGTCGAGCTAGATAGGCTCTTGCTGAATGTTGGAATAATATAAGACTTACCATGTAATTTCATTCAGAATTGGTTTTTATTTGGGTCAAGAATACCTTGAACTTTTCGAATCCATGTTATACCTAAACATAACATTGGTTCAGGTTCACCATTATCAATACGTGTAAAATTTCTAGTAGCTGTAACAGTTTTACCATCCTTATCCTTTATAGTGACTGGAATATCCATAAACCATTCCAATAATTCAGTGCTATGTTTAGAGATACTTTTTATATCAAAGTTAGATGGCTTGTCAGCTTTTCATTCAAGTGCATTAATTGCTAGATTATTTATTGCTCTAAATTCACTTCCAGGATCTAAGAATGATTCAGAAATAGATAAATCGTTTATACTAGCATTTAGATATTGTAGAGATGAAAACCACTCATCTGATTCTTCCTTTTGAACTGTATGAGACTAACATATTTTTCGCATTACCGGTAAAAGCTTTGAAAATAATTCATTATATGTTACTGGTAATATCTGTTTTTTTTTTCCAATGAATCAAGCCATATATCTTTTTCTTCATCATATCCACCCTCATTATCTTCCTCATTAGCTGAAACGCTAGAATTTATTGGTTGAAAGGGATAATATCATTGTGTTCGATTTGATTTAGCTACTGTTTTTTTGAATTGATTTTCAAGTACCATTTTTCCAAATTGAGATATCATTTGTCCAATTTCGTCTACTTTTGATTCTATTCTATCTATTCTAGCAGATTGGTTTGTTTTTTGAAAAGTTTTTTAGACTAATGTGAATCTAAATCTTTATTACTATATATACCTAAATCATTAAAGTATTTCACTACATAATAATTTTTATAATCTTCTTCTGTTTTTAAATTTGATAGGGAGCCTCTTGGCTATCTAACTAGTTCAACGGTTTGTGGAACTGGTGTCTGTGTTTTCTGTGCTTTTTGGGATTGAACTTCCTTTCTCAATTTTTCTATCTCAGCATCATAATTAGATTTTTGTTTCGCTAATGTCTCATCAATCATTTTTTGTGTATCGAGTAATTGCGAAATTACTGGAGCTTCTATTATTTTAGGGTTATAGGAAGATGGTTGAGAAACTTGACCATTCAAATTTGGTGCATGCTCTGGCCACATGTTTTTTAGTTCGGTGAAAAATGCATTAATGCCTTCTAGATTAGCTATTCTCATCCAAGTGTAAAAATTACCTGTTAAGTGGCTTTTAAGAAATCCTATAACTTGCACATCATTGTCTGCCACTCCTAATAATAGTGGCCAAACTCTAGCTTCATAAGTATCTGGAGTATCATAAGGTTGGTATTTTTCTTGAGTCAATCTTTGTATAGCTAATTGCTAATTTCCAACTGTCTCCCGTTGGTATTTTGCTCTTATCCAAGCCCATAATGTATCTGGAGAATTTATAGCTAGATTTTCTACTTCAAGATTATTATTTGCTAGTACTGGAACATATTTTCCACCCATTATAGATTTTAAAATATTACACTTGACTGTATTGTCAAAATCTCCTGTATTTGCATTCTCAAGAACCGTCATATGCCCTTCAAGATATGCTCATGATTGAATAACTT